GGCTCGATTATATGGTTACTGGATTGATTATGTCTCAAGACTTGCTTTTAACTCATGGCTTGATTACGGCTATACATTTGTATGTGATTTGTGTATATGTGTGAGTATACATATATGTATTTGTTTTCTGTATATGTGTGAGTATACATGTGTGTGTTTTGTGTATATGGGACATTCCACGTCAACACGGACAGACAGACAGCTCCAAACAAAAATTCCTTTTATGGAATTTAACGTTATACGGCTTAAAAGATTTCTACATTCGTGTACTTTAAGATGCCGATGGGCGTTTTTTGAAAATTTCCATTTTCGATGCCAATATAGAGCTGTCAAAAGTGAAAAAATCTCAAAATACTTTCATGAATTAAAAGCAAAAAACGAGGTAAATTATTCTGTAACTTATTCTTTAACAGTTTGTAGGGTCCCCGATTATAAATCTAAAGTTTTTTTTTAAATTTAATATGGCGGATCCAATATGGCGGACAAAATTCAAATTTGCTCAGATTCGATTAAAACTTGTTACTCGGAGGTTTTTAGGATCGCTGATTACGAATCTGAAGTCACTTTTTAAAAATTCAAAATGGCAGATCCAATATGGCGAAAAAATTTTCAAATTTGATCCGATTCCCTTAAAACGTGTTACTCGGGGGCTTTTGGGGCCACAGATTACGAATATGAAGTCACTTTTTAGAAATTCTAGCTTCATACTGTTCTATAATGTAAACAATTTGTTATTATTACATGCTTTAAGCGAATTGGTTCAAATTTGAACATTTTTCAGTCATATGGGATCCGCTATTTTTAATTTTTAAATTGTGATTTCAGATTCGTAATCAGCTACCCTAAAAAACCCCGAGTAACAAGTTTAAAGTAAATATGATAAAATAATGTGAAAATTTGTCTGCCATATTAAATCCGACATTTTTAATTTCTAAAAAGTGACTTCATATTCGTAATATGCGACCCCAAAAACCCCCAAGTAACACGTTTTAAGGAAATCGGATCAAATTTTAAAATTTTTTTAGCCTTTTTTAAAGGAAAAATTTTTTAACTAATGCAATTTTTACCTTTTTCAAAGGCAAAAATTGCTTTTTTTTAAGAAACAATTGCTTTACGTGTATTGCTTTTGTTCTTAGGCAAAAATTGACTGAGTAAAAAGCACATTCTGTCGAATTTTTTTTTTAGTGTAATAGATTCGCCATTTTGAATTTTTAAAAAGTGACTTTAGTTTCGTAACCAGCGACCCTAAAAACCCCCGAGTAACAAGTTTTAATAAAATCTGAGCAAATATTGAATTTTTTGAAAGAAAACTTTATATTTATAATCGGGGACCCTAAAAACTGTTAAAGAATGAGTTACAGAATAATTTACCTGGTTTTTTGCTTTTAATTCATGAAAATATTTTTGAGATTTTTGGACTTTTTTACTTTTGAAAGCTCTATTGGCATCGAAAATGGAAATTTTCAAAAAACGCCCATCGGCATTTTAAAGTACACGAACGTAGAAGTCTTTTAAGCCCTAGAACGTTTAAATCCATTTAAGCAATTTTTGTTTTGAGCTCTGTCCGTGTTGACGTAAAATGTCCCATATGTACACGGAGAAAAATGGAAAAATGATTTATGCAGTCAGTGTAGTACTCCTTTATAGAATAATATGTGACAGGTACACACTATAGTATTAGAAGTTTCATAGCTGAACAGTTTGGGACTCAACACAAGTTATCCCATTCATCAGCTTAAACAAAACTGTTTATATAGTCTTAGAGGGAATAAGAGTATAAAAAATTGGAATGAGAAATTTCTTTCTCATGTAATTGTTAAAAGAACGCGGCAGTGTACAAAACACAAGTCAATAATAGAAGCGAATATTGAACAAATAGTACTCAGTCCAGTTCTTTCGAAAAATGAATGCCGTGCACATAAAGTAGATACCTACTCGAAAACCACAAGTTATTCTCTCTCTCTCACACTAATGGTCGTTCACTTATCTTACCGTTTCACTTACTCTTACACGGAAAGAAAAAGTCCGTCAATCATTAATAGACTAGTATATTACTTTGAGACGGGACACAAAATCATTCAATGGATAACATACTTTGAGTCACAATCAGTGACGAGTTGCTTGCTAAAATTTAGAAAACTGTCATCAATATATAAAACTCGTTCACTAAAATTTAGAAAACTGTCTATTAAATTTTCTATGACTATCAAAAGCATTCAAAAAATTCAACTTCTTTCAGAATTATCCCTAATTTTAGACACTATTTGGTACAGAATGAACACATTTTTTTCGTTGCACAGTTCCGATATTTTATTTACACTCTTAGACGCTTTAGACCAACACATTTTCCAACACATTTTCGCACTTATAATAACTACACGTAGAAACGCACACTTATAACACTTTAAGTTTAGAAGCAAACTGTTCTTATATACCAAATAACAAAATTTTTCACAACTTGTGAGAAATGATTTTGCACTAATAACTACTTTTTAATTAGCGAGAAATATAAAAGAAAATATATTTTCATCGAGGTCAATTTCTAGACGCAATTCAACTGCAAATTGTTAGTTAAGTTAAATATTCACATTACACATAATAGTATATAGGGATATGTATAGCAGACAGCAAAAACACATGGACTATAGAGAAACCGGAAGAAATGCGCATCGGTACACTGCGCAACAATGCGCTAGTGAAGAGCGCCGATTTAGAATACGAGTCAACTAACGTTTCACAAACTTTCACTAATGATTCGTAAACATTCAAACAGCCATTGATAACAATTCAGCATTAAATCTAAAACAATTGGTCACATACTGGCATTCTAATCAATCCATGACTCGTTTTCAATCGTTAAGTAAAGTTAAGTAACCATCAACGGAAAAAGTGTCCCGTCTCAAAGTAATATACTAATCCATTAATGGTTGACGGACTTTTTCTTTCCGTGTACTACTCTCAACTATTATGCAGTGCAGTTAAGTTCATTAAATTATTAAATATTGCTGTGAGAATAATTAATTATACATTTCATTCAAGGTCAATTCACTATTTTGTACACGAAAAAAAAGAATAATCAAATTTACCATAAGGACTGTCAAACTTAAAAAAGGTTTCAAGGTTATTAAGAAAAAATTAATGTTTTTTATTTATTTATTATTAAATTCTAATAACCGTATCAAATTTAAACTAGTTGACAATATTATTTATTCAATATTATGAATATTGTTGACATCCATACTTACATTAATTACAAAGTAAAATCGACGCATATTCTAATTTATTTCATTGGTAAGGGATGTTTCTTAAATAGGAAATTTCCCCCATCGATTGCGTAGCCGAGAGGCTTAATGTAAAAGCGTGCGATTTATAATTATGCGTATATTTAGTTGTATGGTTAGGTAGGTGTTCAATCCCGTATGATTGTAAGATTTTCCGATGCATTTAGTTGTTAATTGTAAGTATGAAGATGTGGGAAGAATAAAACTTGTGAATTAAGGAATATGAATATATAAAGAGTGCATTTAACACATTTTTCTTTTTTTTTAATGATTGGTTATTGTTTTTTTTATATAAAATTGACGAAGTGAATACAAGGAAACACTCGTTTCGCGTCGCGTCGGACATTTATTTTGACAGGTTCCGCGCCTGCGTTCCTTTATTGTGAAAATTTCGAAGTAGGGGACTGAGTCCAGTTTCTCTACTATGCACACTGCAGCGCGCCTTATAATCTTCGCCTGTGTTTCAATGCTCTTTACAGTGACATTTGGAACTAAGGCCCTCTATACACTATACGCAACACCCTAAGATGCTTGATGGAAATGAATTAATGTACTTTTACTGGACTGAGTCCAGTTTTTTCAATATTGACTCCCAGTTTTTTAAACTCTATTTTTCTCAGTGTATGAGAGTATACATGTGAATTTGGTTTGTGCATATGTGCTTTGTCTATATGTGTTATATACATGGGTATGTATTTTTTGGACATGTGTGAGTGAAGTATTATAAAATATTGTTAGACATATGAGTCGGTCGGTCGTTCTACAACTTAAAATAATATAGAGTGGAAGTTGATTGTACCAAAACTTGAAAGTCTATAATTCACTTACTGTAATTGTAATTATTTAATTTTTAAATTATATATAAAAAATTTATTTACTTTCTTTACTGTGTCTATTGTTTGTTAGTCGTCATATTTAATACGATTTAATTAAAAAGAGGAATATTTATTTCAAAGAAAACTATATTTTTTCACATTATTTACTCTTTTGTTGATAAATTATTTATAATTAATAACAACTATAAATAGCAATAACCAATAATAATAATAATTATAAGCCTAGTTAAGCGTTGACTGGGTTGCCCACTTTGGACATTGGCCACAGTTAAAAAGAAATTGTTCTTGCATGTTTATTATTTTTTAAAAATTATGCAAAGGTGAATACGCTAATTGATGATTTACTGTTTTTTTTACAATTTATTACATTTAGAGAAGTGTTTTAAAAGTATTTATAATATTATAATAATTTATTACATAACACCTGCAATAATGACTCTATTCACGTGATAATATAAGGCCTTCTTTTTAAAGAAATTCCCAGTTTGTCGTGAAACAATAACACTGACTCACTTTTTATATTAAAAAAAAGCGTATTCAAGAATATATAGATTGGTTTCTATCTTCAAAAAATTCTTTTTTAATTGTATTATTATATATTTATTATGTATTATACAGTTATATTGATATAACATTATATGTACATAAAGGTTAAAACATGTATATTTTTTATAAAAAATTACTGATTTTATCTTTATAAGAATATTTGGAAAAATATTATTTTATTAATATGGAAAAGTTTCAATCTGTCTTGAAAATATTATGCTTCTGTTATTTTCCAAATCATTTTTCAATATACTTTTAAAACTATTCAAAGTACTTAAACATATTGATTTTAAAAAATTGATTTTTTCCTTGTACCAAAAAAATTTAAAAATTTTACCTTTTTTTTGAGAGACTTGTTCTTTTTCTTCTTTGTTCCATTCATTCTTGCAAAGTGTAAGAAATTTACAAGAAAACGATTTCAAAAATTAATCATTAAGGATATCATATAAATGTGAATTGTTCCTAAAAGAAGTAAATAAATAAAAAGGAAGAGAAAAAAGTTTATACTAAAATTTTAAAAATCAGAACTAACTTCACGAACAGGTAGTTAGAGACTGATCATGTAAACCGTATATTGGTTACCACTTAGCGATATCTTCTTAGTCTTCTCTTGGCATTGTATAAGTTTTTGTATACGTATACGTTACAGACATAATCAAATGTTCATAAGTATACACAATTTGTGTACAAATGAGTAAACATCTTAATATACGTGCATGACTGCATTTTATGTTCCAGTTGAGAAAGTATACGTTTATCTAGTTCATGATATATGTGTATGTGTCAAAGATAGAAATTCTCATTGTTAAATATTGTTTTCTTAACGTTCTTATTAACATTACAGAAAAATGTTATATGCTTTTTTTCAATTCCGGAATTGTCAAGTCTGAAAAAACTAAAAAAATCATAAAAATTCTATATCAATCGTGTCGCAACAAAGACACTTTTAGAAGAGTCACAAACGCATCTTATCACGACACGATTGGTCTCTGGATATAAGTTTTAAAAGTTAAAAAGATTTGAGAAAAGTAACTTTTTTTTACACATTACATACAAAATCCTCGTTTGTCAAACAAAGAAAAAACTTAGTCTCAAAATGAGTAGCCTACGCTAATTAAAATGAGTTGCAAGAAAAATGAGACTCCTTGTCTTATTTTGAGCTTACGAAGATAAATGTAAATTTTTATCAAATAATTAATAACCCTATAAATAAAGAATATGATATGTGCCCTGACACGGTGAAAGGGATCTTACGTCCAAAAAAATTAATTTTGAGTTAATGATACCATTCTATCTAGATTTTTTCAATCGATATAATGACATTAAAAACTTAAAATTAATTTTTATGGACGTAAGGTCCCTTTCATCGCATCAGGACAAATGTATATTAATTACATGGAGAAAAATGAGCTAACTAAAAAAGCTAACTTTTTTCTCCGTGTACTTGTGCATAAGGGCAGGGTATAGTTAATTCTGTGAAAAAATGGCATATTTTCGTGATTTTTTTTGGCGCTTTGGTTAGAGCCAGTGTATTGGACAAATTTTACATTTATAGTACATCATTTAAAGATAATTTTAGTCAAAATTTGAAAGCTATATGATGAGAAGGAACTGATTAGCACGCGATTTCCGAAGACGCCTTCAAAAAAACCATTTTGCGGTGTTCACTGTAAGTCGAAGCTGGATCATCCGTCTGTTTTGCTAGGATCTGCTTCAAATTTTTACACAATACTCTTGAAATATAGTAGATTACAATAAAAAAATAAAAAAACAAGTTGTTCATTTCATGACCATTTAGCTTCCTCAACATATAAAATATAAATTCGTGACGTAATTCACTTACAAAATTCTAGCAAACTCCATCTAAACATATGTATAAAATTAAATTTATCCCATAAAATCGTGCTAAATAAATTGATTTGTAAATAATTTTATTACGAATATACTAATTATCATTTACTTTTACAGCCATTTTTAAGATGCTTGATTGGCTACCTCCTCGCGGTGCATCTTGGTAACAATATCATTTAATTCTTTATTTCAAGCTTTATTAAACAATTTCAATAAATTCAAAAAATTAAAAAATTTTAAATGTACTTTGATGATATTGGCTAAAATCCAATCAAACATATAAAATATTTACTAAAGTTAATAATATATTCATTACTTCATTTTAGGTAAAAATCTCCATGAAAACCAAATTATGATTTTTCAAAAGCATAACAATCAAAGCATACATTCTTCTTAAGGAAATTTCTTTTTGATGCAGCAAGATATATTCATAAATTAAATGTAATTATATTGCGGTTTGCAAACTTTTGCAGTTCGAAATAATTCGAATTTTCTGTTGTCGAGTCGATTAATGTTCGGTTCGATTAAATACACACCTCTATTTCATATGCAAATTGCTTCTTTTTTTATGATAGAATAATCATTTAAAAATATTAATATTAAATAAATTATGAAAAAATACAAAATTTGAATTTTTTGTGAAAAAGAAAAATTTCTATTAATTTTATAAATTTTGATAAAAAATATACTTTGTATACATCAATCGATTCGTTTTCTTGTCAGGAATGTAATTTTGCGAATAATTAATTAAAATATTAACAGATAAAAAAATTATTTACAAAAATACAAAAAAAATTTTTTTTTGAATTTTAAAAAAATTGTATAAAATTTTTTTTTTTAGATATTTTTGAAAATCCTTGTGTCAGATTTTAGGTATTAATGACTGCAATAAACCTGAAAAATTTCAAGACAATCCATCAAAATTTGTTTGAGATAATTTGTACACAATTTTTGTGACATACACACACACACATACACACATACACACACACATACACACACACACATACATCTGGACATTTTCTCAGAATTGAATATACATATGTTATAGATGAAAATGAGTCCAAATAACCTTCTTTTGAAAAATTGAAAATCGTCACGAATGCAAAGCTTCCTTATGAGGAAGCAAAATAAAAAAATAAAAGCTAAAATACTATACCCTCCCCATAAATAACATATCAGATGTTATGTAATCCTAGGAAATTCCAACAGGAAACTCCAATTGGAAATTCCAATTGAAGATTCCTGTAAAAATTCTGACGAATTAACTTCCAATAATAAGTATGTCGTAAAAATCAGATTGTTTACAAAAGATGTCAGAGTTCATAAAGTTTTTTTACATTTTCTCTAGTAAGCTTATTAGTTTTTTAAGCTTTTAGATGTATTCAATAGGGGAGAGTGGGGCAAACCGGCCATACCTACGGTTTTTTCACTCTTGTGACTAAACGAATCAACCGATTTCATTTTTCGATGGCTTGTTTGAAAGATCATTTAATTGCGCAACTTTTTCCTAGAGGCACCTACACTTTATCTTTTATTGTTTAATTGCTGTGTTAACTTTAAAAAAATTTGCAAACGGGCCGGTTTGCCCCACCCCCATGGGGCAAACCGGCCACCTACGTTTTTTATCTATAATATTGCATTTTTATAATCTACAATAACAACAAACATAAAGAATCATGCGAACAATGCTTGTAATAATGTAAATAATAATACAGGATTAAATTTTAATTAAATAAATAATTTTTTTAAATAACAAAAAAAAATGTTTGAAATTATTAGACAAACAATATTAAAGGGTCTAATTATCATTAGAAAATAATTGTTTTTCATTAAAAGTAAATATTTTAATGAAAAAAACATTCTAATTAATAATAATTTTCTTGAAACTCTTATACAATGAAAATTTCCTATGGCCGGTTTGCCCCACAGGCTCATTTTGAGAATAAATATTTTTTTAAAAGAAACGCTTTGCAAATTCATCAAAGTTTTTGGTGGTATTTACCATTTCCAAATATTAGGTCTTGAGTTTTGAAGGTACACACCTCAGGAATATTCCTGAGGTGTGTACCTTCAAAACTCAAGACCTAATATTTGGAAATATTACACGATTTCCTCAGAATTTCCTTAAGAAAAAATTCGAAAAAGTGTAGAAAAAAACTAAAAAAAAACTTTTGCTCCCAGCGTTGCACAAACAACAGTAAAAATTGTCAATGAATTGAATTCATTCATTGAATTGAATTTGAATTCGATTGTTTATGATTTAATTATTATTAATTTAAAAGATTTTATAATTTAATCGAATTCGGACTTAACTGTATTAAAAAGAATTTTTAATAGTCTTAAATCAATAAAACGCTCAGTATTTTATAGTAAGAAATGGATGTTAAATTTATTTCAAAATAAATACTGTTATTAAAAATTTAGGATTATTCAGTACGTTTAAATAGATTAATATTAATTTTATTACAATTGATATTGTCTTATCATTATTACAATGTGTACCCCTTTTAATTTATATTAATTAGGTCTTAAAAAATACCCTTTATGACATTACATTTAATAAAATAAAATCCAATACTTAGAATTGTGACAATAGAAAAAATTATAACTTATGAATATACCTCTGTTTTAGACAGAAAATGATATTTAAAGAAATTAACTAATAAGTGTATGTGTGTGTAAATGTGTAAAAGTAATTACAGAATAATTATTAATTAACTCACCAATTATAACTTATTAAAATTTATATCTCTTTTTTTTTAGACAGAAAAGTCTCTTATTCCTAGTCTTCCAGTTACACCTGTAGTAATATTCACGTATTCACTTTTACTTCTCTTTTTTATATTCTTTTTCTTTTTAATGGTTTTTAAATAAATTCATTTTTTATTTTAGAAAAAAATCAAAAAATCAAAATTGATTTTAATATTTAAAATTTTGGGGTCACCAAATTTAAAAATTGTAATCAATTCTGAAATCCTTTATTATACGTAGAATGAAAGAACTAAATCTTCAAACCACAAAAAAACGAGGTTCAATATTTTTATTACTTTTTTCTTCTTTTAAAATTCTCTTTTCTTTGTTAATAATATTTATCAATTTATTCTTTTTCTCACACAAACTGCTTTCTCAAATATTTTTCACTTTTAGTTCAATTTATTTCGAATAACTTTTTTAATATTTCCTTTTATCTTTATATTTTCAAATAAATCACTTTGTTTCAATTATAATATTTTTGCGGGAATAAATCACAAAATATAAAAAAATGGTAACGTCCGCTCTGCGGGAAATACTCATTAAGACTCGTCGATTAATTATCGTGGACAATCGTTCACACCCTGGAAAATCGACTAAAATCGGTAAAGTGGGAGAATCCGTTGCACACGGCCCACCAAACCTTGCTGTTGTCAAGCAAGCTTTTAGCAAACTTGCAAATTCCTCAAGAATGGCGTGATATAGTTTGATACTTTGTATCCTGTTTCGCCAATATGCATTCAATTTAGGTATTCTCCACAATATTATTTAAGAAAAGAAACTCCTTTCTTTAGAGAAATATCTTTTTAATTTAAGGGAGTCGATAAATTACCAAGGGTTGTAGACGATTTCCATACTTGATAACATTTATTTTGTATTTCCCAATCACCCAATATTTAGGTAAAAACCATTAAAAAAATGTTTAATTTCGAAT